TACAAACAGAGCAAACCTAACAAGTGTACAAACAGAGAGCAAACCTAACAAGTTTACAAACAGAGAGCAAACCTCACAAGTTTACAAACAGAGAGCAAACCTAACAAGTTTACAAACAGAGAGCAAACCTAACAAGTTTACAAACAGAGAGCAAACCTAACAAGTTTACAAACAGAGAGTAAATCTAACAAGTTTACAAACAGAGAGTAAATCTAACAAGCTTACAAACAGTTCATTTCAGCTTTTTAGGCCATTTGCAGTGGAACACTAGATAAAATCTACAGCTTTTAAATATGGCAACAATCAAGGTGTGCTGAAAATATTTGTTCTTTTTATCTTTGTTATTACGCATATCTTGAATAAATGACTATCGTTATGTACACATATTTGGTAACAGCATGTGAGATTTGAAAGCCAGTGGCTCATACTGCAGGACACACATACCTTCAGGGCCACTTCATGAGACATGCTGACCTGGTGGAGCAGATGAGGTGCTTTGGTCATTCCCATAGGGAACAAGGGGAGTCTCCGCATGTCACACTGTCCATGAGATACACAGACAGACGTGTAAATGCAGGTCAGAGTAATTCTGAGGCCAGAGGCCGGGGTCAGCTATACTATCTCTGCTACAGTTGGGGAGGAAAGGCTTCATTCAAGGACCCAGTGAGCATTTGACGACTCTGTTAAATACAGGATTCCAACCCGCAACCTTACAGACCCAGGTGCTGATCGACAAACTCACTGAGCTACACGCTAACCCAAAAAGCAGATGGGAGTGAGCAGGACCCACCTTTGCTTCTGGAAGCCCACCAAGGGTGCACAGCTTGGGCATTTTAGAGAAGCCTTTCAGCAAAGGCACGAAAGAGTCCAAAAAGGAAAAAGAGTGACCAGCGAGTTACAGCAGCCGCTGTGCGCGCAGCGCTCCTGGTCAGCTGGTCCCACACCCTGCACCCCGTTTCGCAACGACGCGCTTCCCCTCCTAAGGCTGTCAGGGGCTTCATATTAAATCATTCTTCCAGCTTAATCAAACCGCCCAAGGTCAGAGACAGATTAACTGCCTCCACACTGCAGCTATGAGCAGGGCCTCCGCTTCACCAAAGAGCCTGACATTTTTCAAGGTGTTTTCTGAAAACATCCACCTGCTGCACTGTAATGATTAAAAAAACTGCATTTTCTGGTACATGTGACATATGTACATGTGACCGAAGCAGGACTGTGAAGCACACAGGCTGGACGAGGGCTCCGGGTACATTCATGATGCGTGACCTTGTGAAATCTGTCTTATTTTTTTCCTTTTTTTTTGTTTTGATCTGTTTTGGATTTTAATTTCTTTATAAACGAAACTTTAATTAGACTGAAGTCTCATAGTTTTGAGAGTATGCTGCATTGCACTGCCTCTATTACCTCGCCTCCTTAAAGGCTCTTTTTTCAGTTTTCACCTTATAAACACTTAGTTCTGGGATATTCAGGTCATTTGCAGGCGGGTCAGTTAAACTTTAACCGCATAAAGCTGGTTGGGTAGCGGCTCGGGCTGCGATTGGAGTCGCAGTCGGGTTAAATAGAAGCGGCAGGTGAGTTTGGGACGCTCGATCTTGAATGGTGATGCGTCACTGTCCCAGTGGAGACACAGAAGACTGGGAGGGCCAATTAGGGGTCATTCCTGTTAAAGTTCGAGTCCCTGGGAGGTGCCCTGAGTTCCAGTCACATGAGCTCTCACGCCCTGCTGACACAAAAGCTGCTAGATAAGAAACGGTGTCAGGGGTCCTTCACGTTCTGGCTTGATGTTGCCACTGAGCCATTCATTGAGCTTATGTGTGATTAGGTGACCAAAAAGACAGGTGAAGCATCTGTTCTCACGCTATGTAATACAGGGATCTCCAACTTCTGGTATTTACCTGAGAGCAGATGTGGCTCATCAGTTGGCAGGTAGGACAGAAATCCTACTAGGCAATAGCTCACCAAGACTTAAGAAAACTATTCTTAAGCCAGTTTAACAATCCTCGAGACAATGGCTTGAAGCAGCCCAGTTCAACAAGTAAATGGTAAGTATTTCAAAACATACACCAAAGATGTCGAGCATCTTGATCAGACGTATAAACTCCTAAGTTATTCTCTGTCAGACAGGGTGTAACATGCATCGCTGACCGCGTTCGATGCACATGTCCTGTTACACGAGTCACCAACGACGTCACTGACTATAAAGCCTGCCCCACATCAGGCCCATCCAAGTGCACCTACCCCTCTCAGCCTCTGCTGCACACCCTGTAGGAGGCGCTCTCCCAGAAAAGAGACTGGGGCAATACAACTGTGGCCAAACCTGTACTATGGGTTCGATTATGAATGATTCTTTTGGTAAATGGGTTATAAATGGTTAATAGCCTTATCCCAAAAAAACACAATGCAGAAATACATTTGTAATACAGATATAGGTTTAATTTTGCATAGTCACCCACAGTATCTTCAGTATAACCGTAATATAAGTGCATTCCCGCCCGTAGACGGCACCCGATAGGGTATCTGAAAGCGGCAGCGGTGGTATTTAAAGAAGTGAGCATTATGACTGTGCGCGGCTAGAAGTCATTCATGGTGGGAGGTGGTACGATTGTATGGGAACTTGCTGCACGAAACGCTCGTTTCGTTCAAGTCCGTAGTTTAAATCTGCTATAAAGAGCTTGAACACTACTTTAGGAGAAGACATGAAAACGAGAGGATACCAAGTCATACTACTTGTCTTATGTGCACATTTTATCTCAGTTACTGCTTTGGAAGAAGAAATATCCGATTCTGCGTTTGGTGAGATTATAGTATTTGATCATAATAATATATTATTGTTTAATGAATGATTGCATATAAAAAACAATGGTTATTTTATATAATGCACGCATAAATATTACAGTGTTTAATTACCATAAACTGGTGTCTCTGTCAGCAGTTTCCAATACAGAGGGAAGGTGTGATAACTGCAGTGTATCTGCCAGTCCTGGCACCTAGTTAAACAGCATTTCCGACCGACAGCTTGTCTGTCAGCAATCGACGCTGCAAGGAGCACTTTCGATGGCAAAGAAAGGACGTTATTTTTAGGGATTTATTCATGTTTTGTATGAAGTGTGTATGGTTCTGTTGTAGGAGGACACTGTCAGGCAATGAAAGCTTATATATTAAGATGTTTTAATAGGATAATTGGATGTAAATGCATGCCGAACATTTCCAAGAACTGAGAATGTTAGAAGAATTAAAACATAAATGCAAAAGTCAACAAAGAATAAAAAATGCAATTATATTTTGCTTTAAGAATGATAAAAATGTGGAAATCGTTTAAAATCCGTGAGCAATGAATCAAACTTATTTTTATACGGAAGAATATATGGTTATATTTAATATACAAGTGTGAATCTACAATGTTGATGTGTGTTGCAATGGACATTGTCCGTGCATATTTGTCTCCTGCTGGCCGTTTTGCACGGTCCCATTGTGACAGACTCCACAGCCCGCATTCCGATAAATTAAGAGAGAAAGAAGCTGGAAAGGGAAGAGAAGAAAGATGTACAGATTATACCTCTTTAAATATGTCTTTCATAACTAGTTCTGCAACTTTCCCGAATGTGTTACTACTGAATTTCAGCAACTAAGTTAAAGAGTTAAGTAGCCTTAAATGCTCCCTTTCCCCCGCATTCTTTGCACAGATAATTTTCTCGAGCTAATACCGAGTTTACGCAAAGAGCGCAGCGGGTCCGTCAGCGCCAGGTTTTCTCTACGGAAGCCGTCTGATCCCGATGACGATGTTTGTTACATCGTCACTGGAGACCCCGAGTCCCTCAAGGAGTGCGACTTCAACACAACCTCTAAGACTTTTCTGGTGATCCATGGATGGACGGTACTGTTTTCCTGCATAGCCACAGCTGTATAGAGGAATTTACATTGACGGTCACTAACATATTTATTAATTTATCTAAAGCAGCTGACAGTAGAGGGAAGGGGTGCAATTTGCATGCTCGGATTCAAACCCACAACCTTCATGTTGCTAGCATAATGTGCTACTTGTCGAAGTTCGGGAGCTAGAAGCTAATACGATCTCGCTGTGTTTCTCTGCAGGTGAGTGGGCTGTTTGAGGGCTGGGTTGGCAGGTTGGTGGCTGCTCTCTATGAGCGGGAGCCCAGCGCAAATGTGATTGTAGTTGACTGGCTCAGCACAGCCCAGAACCATTACATAGTTGCTGCTCATAATACAAAGATGGTGGGACAAAATATTGCGAATTTCATAAACTGGATGGAGGTTGGTACACGTGTGTTTATCACAACCAATTGATTTAGCTGCCAATTGACCAAATACAGTGTGCTTCTGAAGACTATTCAAAGAAATAATTGTTACTGTGTTCGTGTCCGCAGAAAACAACACATTTGTCCCTCGATCACCTCCACCTCATTGGCTACAGTCTCGGTGCCCATGTTGCTGGGTTTGCTGGAAATCATGTGTCCAATAAAATTGGGAGGATCACTGGTGAGAAGCTCGGTTTTCCTGGCGGAGTTTGAATTTCTAATGTGCCACAGAGTCTTAAAATGACAGCTTCCAAAACACAGTTAGGAAATTTTAATTGATTTACCTGAATTTGAACGTCTTTAACTGAACTGTAATTAAAGATCCCAAAGTTGAATGTGTTTATCTGAGCTTAAATTAAAAATAACGGATTTGGATTCATTACCTGAATTTAAATTTATGTTGTAAAATTCATTTCCTGAAAGTCCGGGTTGTAATATTCAGGTTGAGAAATTCAGGTTGAAGTTAACATATTCAAATTCAGGTTGGGGTTAACATATTCAAAATCTCAGGTTGAGGTTAACATATTCAAAATCTCAGGTTGAGGTTATCACATTCAAAACCTCAGGTTGAGGTTAACATATTCAAAATCTCAGGTTGAGGTTAACACATTCAAAATCTCAGGTTGAGGTTAACACATTCAAAACCTCAGGTTGAGGTTAACATATTCAAAACCTCAGGTTGAGGGTAACATATTCAAATTCAGGTTGTGGTGAGTCAGATCTGACACCATGGTGACTGAAATGTCACAGCGCTCTACCGCTGGCCAAACAGTGACATGGCAGATGTTCTCTCCTTTGGCTGAGTCGCTCTTTCCCTGCAGGTCTCGATCCTGCCGGACCTGACTTTGAAGGGGCACATGCTCACCAGCGCCTGTCCCCGGATGACGCCCACTTCGTCGACGTGCTCCACACTTTTAACCGTGGATCTCTGGGTCTGAGCATCGGTACCCAGCAGCCAGTGGGCCATGTGGATTTTTATCCCAATGGGGGCAGTTTTCAGCCAGGGTGCAACTTACGGGGGGCCCTGGAAAAGATCGCAAAATTTGGCATATTTGGTGAGCATGTATCACTGATGTTAGGAGGATTGTAAAAATGCAAACAATGTAAAAAGACATATTAAATACAACCTACATGTGCTGGCTACAGTAAAGCAAAGTAGCCTTTCAGTGTCTTATAATTTAGGTGATAATTAAGCTAATTTATTTGTATATAAAGAAACAGATTCTGCGAACAATGATCCAATGGATCATAACATAACAGGAGAATTTTGTACCAAGTGTCAGCTCAGGGAGCGTGTTTGGGTTCCAGCCTCTATGTTGTTGTGGAGAAGGTGCCTCAGGCTGGTGGACTGAGCACCGCAGAAGCATTAACTGCACTGTGTACGACTCCCCATGACCTCGAGCAGGATAGGCAGTTTGAATGAGTGATATACACCTTATGGACAAGAGTATTGGGACACCAAGGCATTTTGGTCAATTCTTCGCTTCCAACTTTGTGGGAACAGCTTGGAGAAGTTCTTCAGGTCCAACATCAATGCCTGACCTCACAGATGCTCTCCTGGGTTAATGGGCAATGATTCCCACAGACACACTCCAGAATGTTGTGGAAAACCTTCCCAGAAGAGTGACCGCTGTTATAGCTGCAGAGGGAGGACCAGCTCCATATTAATGCCTATGGATTTATAGTCATAAAAGTTCCTCTGGGTGTAATGGCCAAGTGTCCCAATACTTTTGTCCATGTAGTGTATGATAACCCTTAAGTAAAGATGCTGGATATAAATATTTCATAAATGAGCATCGATTTAGAAATGCATGTTGTTTTGCTTGTCTTTTTAACATCCACACTATTTCCTCATGCCCTGCAGCTATTAACGACGCAGTGAAGTGTGAGCATGAAAGGTCCGTGCACTTGTTCATCGACTCGCTGCTGCACAAGCAGGAGGCCAGCCAGGCGTATTTCTGCGGCAGCCCGGACATGTTCGAGCGCGGCGCCTGCCTCTCCTGCCGCAAGAGCCGCTGCAGCACCATGGGCTACGACGTGGGCGGCGCCCGCCAGGCGCGCAGTGCTACTATGTTCACCAAAACACGGGCATCCATGCCCTTCAGAGGTATTCCATGGGCTCGTCCTCACCAAGCGGCAGTGTGCACCAGCTGGCTTGTTTGTAACATTGCTGAATGCTGTTCTTGTCGCTACTTTGAACAGTCTATCACTACCAGTTGAAAATTCACTTCTCCAGTAATCTGAATTGCTCTGGAGTGGAGCCAACATTGACGGTTTCCCTCCATGGAGCCAATGGAGATGCCAAGGACCTTCACCTGAACATGTGAGTTTGAGGTTCCTCACAGCACTGGGCCCCTAGATTACATGAACTACTTCATCTCCTTCTTTCCTTGGTAGAAATGAGAAGATTGCGGGCAACAACACACACTCTTTCTTGCTGGTGACCGAGAAGGACATTGGAGAATTGCTGATGATTAAGCTTAAGTGGGAGAATCGCAGCAAGTGGACGACGTCCTTTATGCTAAAGATGGTGTCTTCCTGGTGGCCAGGAGATTCCACTCTCGGCTCCGACATGGAAGTCCACAAGATCCGCGTCAAAGCCGGCGAGACACAGAAAAGGCAGGAAACGCATCACTTTTGTACCTTTATTTTGATAAATATAATGAAACAAAAAGAAACCTGTGATTCTGCAGATATTTCTGACTACAGCACCTTATATCTAAACTGAAGTAGAGTCTCTGAATGGATTCTCTCTGATGACCCAATACTTTTCATTCACAGGATGGTTTTTTGCCTAAAAAATCCTGAAACGCCTGGGGTATCACAAGAGCTCTCATTCGTTAAATGTAAGGAAAGCTGGAAATTCCACTCAAAAAGGTGAGTTTACAATTTGTTCTAAGGGTTTACCTGGAATACGTCACGCTGGACACCTGAGCTAAACACGGTGTCATCTTACGTTGTCAGTAATGGCGGTATAAAGGGCATCTCTTCCGCTGACATCCAGAACGTCCTCATGTTAACACCGTTAATAGCACCTCTTACAACAAATCCTTAAATCATAATCATGTGTCACACTCCTGTTTGTGTCTGTCTGTATGTGTAGGCGTGGCCTAAGGAGACAGTGATGATTACATCTGCCTGTCTTCACTGGACCAAATACCTCATGCAGAAGCACTTGGAAAGTCATCCATGTGGATGTAACTAATTTATTCTTATTTGTTGCAAGAATTCAATTCAGAATATTAAATATATAAATACATGACAAATATATGGATATATACTAGCATGTTTTAATTTACTGGTTTGTGGTTAGCAAGCGACCATCATAGGAAGATTGGATGAGTGTAGCTGTTTTGTAACAGTGCAATTTTGACTTGTTATCATTATTAGGCAAGTGCTCTTTTCTTCTTACTTAAGCAACATTGACACAATATCTGTGTCCAGAGTTCAGCTGTTGGCAGAAAAATTGTTGTGTAAGTTACAGAAATAAGAGGGAAACATGAGGCACATGGAGAACGACGGAGAGGTGCATGCTGCTGAGGTGACTTTCTGAAGGCGAGTGACGCCTGGGCACGGCGCAGTCTGGCTGCATGCTGTGCTGACTGTGCAAGCAGGAACGGCGGCGTGTGAGCATGCGTGCAGGTCTCTGCTCGTGGCCGGGATGCAGCGCTGCACAGTGCGGTGTCACCTCCGTCGGCACATTCAGCTCTCTGCCGTATCCGGCTGCATTCTGCTGCAGGTGTTGGTGTGAAAGCTGTGACTGTGACTTGTAGAGATATAGGGAATAATTTGTGCATGTTAAACTGGACATTCGTTTCCAGAGAGTTACTATTAAATAAATCTGATAAATATTATTTTGGATAGGAAAAATGTGAAAAACCAAAATTAACGTAATACGGTGTTGGGGGTGTTTGTGATTGTTTTATGTTATGGTTATGCATTATGTTATGGTTATGCATTCTGCATAAATCGGTATCCATCATGGCGTCGAAATGAGGTCTGTGATGTAGCAATGCTGCAAATTCAGTGGCGGGAAAAGAGTTTTTATACTTTTTATATACAATGGACACATACAGTAATGATGGTTCCATCAGTTGAGCAGATGAAGATTAAGCTGCGTTTGTCCAGATCAAAGGAGATCACAAATTAGGGAAGAAGCTGGAAAATGTTAATACCATGTATTGGCATTTGTGGGCGTTGTAACGGTACCACTTACTGTTTGCCTTGAAAGCTGCAATTGATAAATGAGCTAAAAATGGGTTATTAATTGTCATAATCTTGATGTATATAATTTAAGAATTATATTTGCTGCTGGTGAACCCATATATGGTCATGTAAAGTATATAAAAATATTTATATTTAATTTTAAAAAAATGCCTATTTAAGATGAAAGTGTTTTTTCTAGGTAGAAAATATATAGAAGATGGGAAAATACTTCTTTCCCTAAGGCACTTAAAGCCGACTTTGGTGGAACTTCATGACAATGTGTTCTCATAACTCTGAATGTCAGGCCGTCATGTGAGAAAAGTGTATCTTGTTCCTGCTAATAAATATCTTCCCTTCATCCATCTTTGAATACCTTTCATTTGTCTAAGTCAGTGTTTCCCACCCCAGTCCTCAGGAAACCCCCAGATGATCTATGTTATTGCTGCCTCCCAGCTTCCTGTCAGACAGGCCACACTCCGAGCTAGGAAGGAGTCAAATGTGTTTACCTGAACTATATCAGCATTTTTATTACTATAGTAAATTGTTTTATGTTGCCTAAATACTATCTTTAAATCTGTTTCGAAGCTGGATAGTGCCTGATCTAATGGTGATTTTAGCCCATAAATTATAGCAATCATCAATCAGTTGAAACATTGAAAACGTGAAACCTCCCTTGAATCATAATCAAAACCACGAAACAGCATTTCATGACCGTAACATACTAATAACACTGTTATTGAAAATTGTTAGCCTGTGCACTAGTTAGATCACCAGTATGTCTCTGAGACAGATTTGCACCTCCTGCATGTATCACGTAGGGCATGTGCAGTCTATCACTGTATGGATCTATACAAACTGGCTGTAAGTCACATCACGGTACATAAAACACAGACATAATAGGAATCACAGAATTCTTAGGTGAAAAAGGCCTTATTTAACCATTAAAGCTGCCCAGTGTGCAGCAGAACATGGCAGCTGTACTGGGTGGTGTCTTCATTTGATTCCCCACACTGAAGATCTGTCCAGCTGTACTGGGTGGTGTCTTCATTTGATTCCCCACACT